AATCAGGATCCGAATATATTATGTATATATATATATATATTATATATATGATATATTATTGAATATATATATATAATATATATATAGGTATCTTGTAGAAATTACATCTGATGAATAACTCGGAAATATATCTTGTCTCGGGGTCGTTTCGATGTCTTGATCCACAAATGACAATGTACAGGTGAAGATCTATCTCTTTCTCTCTGTGTGAAGTAGGTTGACAACAAGTTCAGTTATTCTCTATGTGTTCTTTTATAATTTTACTTATTAGTTCTTCTCTCTCTATTGTCATAAGAAAAATTATATTATTATAAATAAAACTCTCTCTGCTCTAGCTTTATATTATATTTCAGATGTGGAAATAGTGTTGATCTTTTTATCTCACTCCCTGCAAAAAAGCAAAATATCCTTTTTTCTTAAACTGTTTAACTGTTACTTTAAACTAACAATGAGTACAATATTTAAATAAGTGATTAATAAATTGTGCAAAGATGAAACATAAGGTCATATTTCAAGCTGAGGTGAAATAAAAAGTTTGACTTTTCAAAACAGGAATAAGGACTGCTGTTTCTGTTAGTAAACACTGCACTGGATGACACATTTTAAGCTGATAAGGCAACTGGAGTTGTGTTTCCTTTACTTACCTCATAACTTGGTTTTTAACTGCTCGTGTACAGTTCATTCTTGGATAGCTCTTTTATACTTGTCTTTTATCTCTTTATTTACTACTCTGTTTATCTCTTCTAATTTCTGTTGCCTAAACACCAGATTTTCTCCTCCTGGGATCAATAAAGGGTTATCTTATCTTAAGTCCAATGTTCTCTCTGCTCCTCAGGGAAATCTGCTCATTAGCTGCTAAACGCTCCATTGCGTTCACAAGATAGTCATTAACTCTTATCTGTGTAGTGTTTGGTGCTGAGCAGGTAGGCAACAACTGGTCTGTAGAGCTTTTGTGCTGAAAACAACTTCTTGCTGTGTCCGAAAATGTTGCTGGTGGTGAGAGCAGTAAGACCGAGCCAAAACCGTAACGTTGCTGCCAGAAAAGCCAAACAATGAGATGAAAGATGCTAAAACACTTCTTAAAGCTGAGGAAGTGCAGAGTTGTGTGATAGATCTCTGTTGGATCATCACTGCCAGCAAGCCCTTTCACAAACAAGTAGTAGTCAGTGTTAATGTAAAAATATTGATTGTAGCCAGACAACATTTTGAGCTGCTCAAATACCTGCAACAACATTGAAGTAATTCTTTACCTCAGTTATTTATTGATATAGAATAAGAGACGCAGAAGAAATGCACACAATAACCTTATTTACCTTGTTATCTTAACCCTGCTTACACTTGCATTACAGTGTGAGTATATTAAATGTGTTTATCTCTGCGTATGTTTGTAGGCCAGTCCAACGGGCGTCTGTGCAGCACATGGCTGTCCGATGCATGGTCTCTGCTCCCTGGTCTCTCCTCATTAGCCTCACACAGTGCAGCCATTCCCCCTCTCCCCTTCACCCCCCCTCCCTCTCTACCTTCCACTCACAGTACACACAAGGGGTAGAGCGAACCTTTTGTTTTCTGTGTCCGACCTGTGCCCCATTCCAACCCTCCTCCTTTTCTCTCCTTCTCCTCTTCGCTGACTAAATCTCTTTTCCGGCTCGATTTTGCTGAAAACCATATGGTGTGTGACATCATCAGGGCAGGAAGCAGGGAGAGGGGAATGGTAGAGCAGGGGAGAGATTGGCTTGCCAGGTCTCTGTGCAGTGATGTCAGCAGAAAAGCACTCTGGGAGGCCCGTTGGGGGGTGAGAGCAGAGCAGGTTGGACATTTTTTGTCTTTCACTCCCACCTGGATAATCAGGAGCTAATGGAGGGCAAGAGGAGAGGCAGCGGCCACCTTGAGGGAAACTTGATGTCATTTGTGAACGCGTCAGGTCATGAACTTGCTGTGCTTAGCTTACTTTTGTGAGCAGGTGGTGTTGCAACACCAACAAAATGGCAGTATCTGAATCAAAGCAATTTCAGTGCGTTACAAATAAGGTTTGGGCCATCTTAAAATGTCTAAATGCTAAAAGACTTCTGCAGATCATCTGTCTACCTCTTCCTTTTAGTCACTGGCAGTCCCAAATGTGCTCACCAGGCTTTTTGTCTGTCAACCTCCCGCCCTCCCTCCCGCTTTTGTTCTCTGGGTGAACTCTGCAGCTTTGTGTGAGATCCTGGTCTCCATACCATCAGCACCGAAACATCCAGCTCTCTATCAGCACACACAGAGATGCACATAAACACTCAGTTGGCGACTCACATAGTCAGCATCTTTCCCCCTCAAACACAAACACACATGCACAAAAATACCCATCCCCTCTGATTAATGGCAGGGTTGGGGAGGGTGCCAGGCAAGGAGGGAAGGCATTAAAGGAGAGAGGGGAGGAGGAAAGAGAAGCTGCTGCAGCTGTGGTTTTGGAGTCGGTCTCCGCACCCCCTTGCTGCCCCCTCTCCATCTCCTCTCTGGCTCCTCCAGGGACACACGCCTTGGCCAGGCCCCAGGAACCAGGGAGTCAGGACCAGGCTAAGGGGGAGAAAAAGGGGAACAAGAGAGGGAAGGAAGGATATCACAAAAGAAAGAGAAAAACAGAGCTGACCTAATACGAAAGTATTGTCAGACAGCACCTACACAAACAGGAGAGTGCATGAGATGTTCCTTAAGGTTTTTTACTGGCAAAATGGCACAAAGGATCACATTTCCAATAAAACTTTTTAAAGTATGTTTTTCTATTTAATAGTAGTGTTGTCATTTGGTTTTATGTTGCAACAAAATCAGTGCTCAGTTTTCTCAGAGTGGAAGGAACACTGATTTTTACAGGGAATCAGACATAAGGTAAACTACTGTACATGAAAACAAAGACATTATCATTTCAGTGTGTACATAATGTCAAATGATGGGTCTTAGAGCTGGAGCGCAGGACTTTAAAAGAACACACGTTACATTTAAAGATATTGCCAAAACAGTTCACACAATGCTGTCTATCAATGCCAGAGAAAGCTCTTAGTATTTTTGAAGTATTCAGAAGTTGTTTTGTACCATGTGGTATGTGGCGACGTTCACGTGCTGATGCATGTATGCCTGCAGGGTGAGCTTGCTACCCCCAGTGCACTTTTTGTTACTTCAATCCTTTCTTTGTACACAGAGTTTATTTTGTTACCTGGAGCATCATCTCTCCTATGTGTTTATTACTCTCCCTTCCAGAGGGGGGAGACAAAACCCCCTCACTCCAGCTTGAATGTGCTGTAGGATATCTAAAGATGCCAGCCAGCTTCATTAGGACTTTAAATGTAAGACATTTGGTTTTAGGTGCACACAGTGTGTGAAACAGTCTCACATTTTCAAACAATAAAACCCTGCAAATGGCTGCAGGGAAATGAAGGTCCTCTAGCATCAGAACACTGCAGTAGATCTGGGTATTGAATGGGAAACAAAATGATTTCCTCAGAAGGAGGGAATTTGTAAGTTTGCCAAGAACATTTCTGGTGACTGTATTCCAAAATCCACTTTTACTTCCCAAAGGAAGATGTGGAATGATAACGATTGAAAGAGAAAATGGTAGAAGGTGAGCATTTAGCATTTATGCGTACAGAGGTGGAAAATTCCCTTTTAACAGGGAAGATGGTGTGATTTTTCATGGATGGTGGAGGTGTCTACAGATGGCTCATTTGAGATAAGCTTATCAACCCTCCACTTCATGCATTAACTTATGGCTTTATTATGAGCCTGACTTAACATACACAGGATGTTTGGGTATGCCTGTGCATGCCTAAACCCAAGTGTGATGTGCTCACTGCCCTTCAGTCCTGGGTTAGTGAGTATTTGAGGCCTATTCTCTCCCTCTTCTCCCCCACTACTCTCAGTGTTTTATGGGCTGTGTGCTGCGGTGCAATGACCTCCCTCTCACCCCGGTGCCACCCAGCCAGTGCAGGATTCAGGCTTCGCATGGCCCCTGCCAAAAACCCCATTGCGCCACATCTGCAATCCATAAACGCCAGCCTCTCTCGCTCTTCTACTCCCTCGCCCACACCGCCTTCGACTCTCACACTCCTCCATTTCACTCTTTCTCTCTATCTCACCCACTAACTTTATATTTTAATTTCCAAATTATATGCATCCCCCTATTCACATTCCTACGACTGCTTCCTCCCACCACTTCTGGTTTTATTCATGCTGAACATCAACTGGCTCTTCGCTTATCTCTCACTCCCCCACTGCCCCTTTTTTCTCCTTCCGTTTCTTTTCCACATCCAACGGAAAATTCTCTCACCCATTATATCTTCAGTGGG